AAGTCCACTCGGCAGATATCCTGAACCTCGGCATGTCCGTAGTGCCTTCCACCTAACTACCTGAGAACTAGGTAAGCTTTGCAGCTCTTACCTGTTGGAGTTATGGCGAAGACACTTTAAGAGAAATAAGGCCCAGAAGGTGGGTCTCAGGCAACAATGACGCCCAGTTGAACGCGACGGCTCTCTTCGCGTGTCCAAAAGTGCACGAGCTATTTAACAGAGTTTACATTCGTAAAAATTGTTTCGATATCAATATATCGACCTGGATTTATTACACACGCTGTCTATAGATCTGGTTATCGTAATATCATTGTCTCGATCTTTAAGCATTAAGAATTTAATTTGCAGCCCTATTTATGCAAAATATGTTACGTGGAGCATTTTAATGCTTAAGCTCTAGTGTATAAATTCTTGGATCAAAAAAATCGACGTTTTGTGATACAATGTGACGTAAATTTAAGTGATTTTCAACTCTGAAAAATTTTGAGTGTGAAAATGTGCGAGTGTGGTGACGAGTGTTCCGAGGACACGAAGACGCGGGAACTTCAAGATGTCCTATCTCATTAGATCTAAAGAAACGTTCGATTGAGTAAATCTAAGACGAAGCCTTAGTGAGAAAAATTCTGGACGAGATTAAGATTCGAACGCCTGAGATGGCTACCCTCGGTCTCTCCAAAGTCTTCATATTGGACAAGTATTTTACTGAGCTACAGAAGTTCTGGGAAACCGAAAAGAAGCTACAAGGTACAAAATTGCAAAACTGCATCCTCTTGTTAATCTTAATAATCTAAAACATTTTTCTTGATTACTGAAATTTTTAATCTTAAAATATTTTAAAAGTAATTTTGTTTTTTTTTTCTTAGAACTAATCTAAACTATTTAATTAAACTTTCAATGCAGTTTTCGTATATTTGCATTTTAATTTATTTAATTTGTATACATAATTATATTATCCCAATACGTTTTAAAGTTTACAATTTCTATAGAATAAAGTATATCCATTCATATCTATTAATTTTTGAAATCTTTATCTTCATCAAATTTTATTTTTAAGTTTTCAAATCTTCTTTATCCTCTTATATTCACTAATACGTATTTCATTTCTATAATTTAAAAAGTTTCTAGACAAAATTTTACATCTTTACATCTAATAATTTATAGTTTTCGAACATGTAATTATATCTTGAATTCTTAATTTCTTAAAATATTATATATTATACGTTTAAAAATTATTTTTTATGTATATACCTAAACATTTATATATACATTATATATATGTACGTATACATGTGTATATATGTAATATATAAAATACAATACTTAAGTTTTACATATAAAAAAAATATGAGAAGGCTTAATCCAAAGCTAATAAATTTTTCTCAAAAACATAAGTAAACATAAAATATTTTTACAGATTAATGTAAGCTGTAATAATTGAAGTTTTAATTTCTCCTATTATAAATATAAAAAATAACATTTGATTGACAAAGTGTTTTTATTTAATAATAAAAATTTATAGGATGTTTAATTATAAACCGTTAGATTTTAACTATGCAAGCAATAAGTTTCGAAGCACTTGCTACGACTCTACCATGCTGAAAATGAAGAGTTGTATAGTGGTCGTTATAAAAGTTGCCTACGCTTTACAGTTAAAGTAATACAGTTTCTTTATATCTTCGCGGCTGTTCTTCCTTGATTACCTTCCAACATTCTTAACTGTATTCAGAAATTAAAGTCTCTTATAAAAAATTTATATGACGCCAGAAATAAAAAATTTGTATCATTAGATAATCATAAATATTTATATTTATGCAATTTCGTCATTCTATACCTTTTGAATTTGCGGTTAATTATTTTTCATCAGCAAAATATTTAAGCATTTATCGTTATTTATATAAAATTAAAATGATAACTTTATCAACTTATTTAAAATAGAAAGGAAAAATAAAATTTTATTCTGTGTATAATTTTAAATATAGTTTGGGAAAATTCAAATTAAAAAAATGTTTAAACTTAAATATTAATTTTGAAAAGTATTTGCTACTTAATTTTATTTTTATTATCTAAATTATTTATCAGTTTAATTTAAGAAAAATTATTTATTTTATCAAATATCTTGTATTTGTAATTTTAAGTAGATTTCTATCTTATTTCTGCCTAAAATCTTTTTTCATATATCTATTTTATAGATTATCTGAACAGTTAAACAATGACAATATTAATGCTCAAATATATATGTATAATTAAGCTTTTAAATTTTAACCATCTACTAAATATATTGAGATAAAAGTTTTGAAAAAATAAAATACGCCACTAAATCAAAATAACTTTTTTATTTGATTGTTTCCCAACTAGGAAAGCATCATTATTCTACAGTCTAAGACATCCTCATAGCTATTGTTTCATTATAGCGCGTCCTTCACAATTACGGGTTTCTCTAGTAATTAGGTAGATAGAATGAGAAGATGAGATATAATTAGAATACCTTCTACTTCTTTGTTATTAATTTCGAGCAAGAAAAATTGCATAAAACTGATAAATAATTTAATTATGTGCACTATGCATAATAAGATTGTAATTATTAATTATAATTATGTTATAAAATATAATTATAATTAAATATGTATAGAAAATTTGTAATACTCATAATATTTTAGCTTTATTTTAAATTTTAAAATATTATTTATATTCTCCATTACGCGCACATTAATTAACTTTATAAGTAATTAGTCTTAAAAATTAATTTTACAATTTTATATTTTACTTTTTTTAATATTTTTTAACTAAGTAAATCTGTATACAATTTATACATTTATTAGGAAAGGTATTTTAATTAACAATTTTGTAAAAATTAAAAAATGTTTTAATTAGTCGATTAATTATTATATATATTTGAATAATTATATAAATATTACAATATTAAAAAACAAACACTTTTTGTTATGATCTGTAGTAACAATGAAAAGATCTTTTCTCGCTGGGATTTAATGATGCAATGGTCTAAATTGGTATACCCAGATGCAACTGTTCAGTTCCATGTTAAAAGCGCATGTGTGCGTAAAAACATGAAAGCAAATAACACGTATACTCATGTAGATATCGTGTTACACATTTGTGTACTTATTAAGAATTCAGAATCAAAGCAATACAAATATGCTTGGTAACTAAGATTACATTATAATTTCTAATGTTCTTTCCTGATATATTCTTAAAATCTTTTTATTATGAAATATATAATGAAGATAAAGAATGTTAGAAAACTGCAAGATATATTAGAATAAAAAAAAACAAATGAATTTTATCATATATATATATATATATATATGATAAAATACTCACTTATACTCACAGAAAAATTAAAAGTTGT